AATAAATGTTTAAAAAAAATTTATATAACTACATACATATATCACACATACAATTATATATTGTCAAAAAATATATTTCCCTTCTTTAAAATGTACTAAAAATACACATTTTATTTATATTAACATACTTAACTTCCATAGATTTTCCCTGCCCTAGATTAATATAAAAAGTAAACTAATATCTGCAATTATAGCTGTCTATAACAATTTTAAACTTAATTCCCTCCTGTATTTGAGGACATAAAGTGAAATTTTTTTAATTGAAATGAATATTTCAATACTTATCAAATCACTATGAGATTGCTTTTTTTAAAAAATGTATTTGGTACAGGGTCTACAAGGTGTTCAGGGTCTCTCACTATGTAGATCAGACTATAGTGATCCTCCTATTTTCAGCCTCCCAAATGCTGGGATTATAGGCACACAACACCACACCCAGTCTCAGTTGCAGTCTCACCATGCCCCAGGGGCAGGGCTGAAACAGCATGCTGGGAACTGAACCCCAGCTGCTGTACCCTGCCTAAGCAGGCCCTTTAACCCACTGAGTTATCTGGCCAGCCCTCTGAGATTCCTTTCTTATAGGAGAGGTTACTAAGTGATTACGGATTATGAAGTATCATGAAGGTCTTTGTCCCCACAAATGTTTTCATCAAAAGAAATGATAAGTGCTACTGAGAAAAATAAAACAGCAGAGAAGGAGACTAGAATAGAAAATAGAGTGGAAGATGTAGTTTTAAAGATAACAGTCAGAGAAATCATCTTAAAGAAAGTGATGCTAGGGTGCTATCAGAAGAAGGCAAAGGACCCAACTGCAAGAAATCTTGGGAAAGAGCTTTCTAGGCAGAAAGAACAAAGGTCAAGTCTTGGAGCCTAGGAATGTAGCTGCAATGTTCCGGCATTAGCAGAAAAGAGAGTGTGGCTGGGAAGAGAGCACCTAAGCATGCTCCTAAGCAAAATAAATCAGGAAGATCAAGAAAACAAATCATTACAGCTAGTAAGCATGAAAGGAAACTTTTTTAAAAATAATAAAAGATCAGGAATAACATTCAACAGCTGCAAGATTAGCAATGAAAAATAAGAATAACTGCTGTCAGTAAAAAAGGAGCAAACACAATAACA